CGTAACAGATCTGCTGATGCTCCATTTCATTTGTACTTTAGGCCTAGACTTGCTGTAGTGGATGATTTCCATTTACAAGTGGATACAAACTTTTAGATCTGTCAGCAGCATTTGATGCTATGGACCAGATCACATGGAAAAGGACAGGGACTACAGGAACAACCTTCTGACAGTTTCAGTCCTTTTTTTTCAGGGTGCACATAAAATGGTCCCAAGGAGAGCGGCTGAAGTGTCAGTTTGGGGACTTAAATAAGTTGTCCCTCAGGGCTGTGTTCCAGTGCACTTTAATACAGCTGCTGAATGCAATAATTCAGAGCTCTGGAGTTGTTTGTCATCAGTGTGGCAATGACACCAGTTGTACCTGTTGTTAACCAAGCCTCTAGAAGCAGCTATCTCAGTCTTAGGCCTGTGTCTGAGTGCTTTAGTCAAGTATATAATAGATGAAAAAGTGAATTTTGAATCTAGACAAATCAAAGGTGATGTTGATTGGGAAAACTGATGTTCTGGATTTGCTAACTAGATGAGGTTTGGCTGTCTTTGGCCAATCAGGTGAAGAGTATGGGAAGAGATCTCAGGGGCAACAGCAGGCTCTGGGCTGAGTGGGAGTTCGGAGTCCAAGTAGGAAGTCAGGGCTGTATCCTGGTGTGGATTTCCCGGACTGGCTTTCCAGGACATCAAAGGGGGCTTCTGGATGCATCTCTGATGCTTCCTTTGGGATGGTGGCAGGACCTCAGCCTTGTCTGAATCTTCCTATTCTTTGCCTGATGAAGAGGAGTCAGAGCTCTAGTCCATTGCAGTTCTTTAGGTTGACTTTGACCTTTCCCAGCAAAGCCTGATGCAAAAAATACTTTAGCTTCTCAACTTTCTTCCTTGAGTACTTGTTTTACTCTTTGATATGTCTCACTAACCTTTTAGAGTTCTTTGAGGGCATGAACAAACATGTGGACAAGGGCAACCCAGTAGACGTTGTTTACCTGGACTTCCGGAAAGCTTTTGATAAAAGTTCCTCATCAAAGGCTCCTAAGTAAACTCAGCAGTCATGGGGCAATCCCCTTGTGGATTAAAAACTGGTTAATTAACAGGAAACAGAGAGTGAATATAATTGGGCAGTTTTCACAGGGGAAGGTGGTAAGCAGTGGGGTACTGCAGGGCTCAGTACTAGGTCTTGTGCTTTTTAACGTGTTCATGAATGATTTGGAGTTGGGAGTAAGCAGTAAAGTAGCTACATTTGCAGATGATGCCAAGTTGTTCAGGGTGGTGAGAATGAGGGAGGACTGTGAGGCGCTCCAGAGGAATCTATTGAGGCTAGGTGAGTGGGTGTCAACATGGCAAATGAGGTTCAACACGAGCAAGTGCGAAGTTATGTACTGTCATGGGTGATGACGGCACTGAGTCCCCATCTGAGTTGGCACCGCAGCCAGAGGCGCTGGCATTGCCAGAGCCTGAAAACCCCACACCTGGTCATGCAGGAGCCGATGAAGTACAGGCGCAACTGGGGAGCCTGCCTGACTCACCTCCGCTGGTGGTTTGGCTGAGGGAGCAGCTCTGCAGAGACTTAGCCACCCGCCGCCAAGATGCACGCTGGCAGGGAAGGTGAGCGCCGAGTCCTGAGCAATGCTCCCTGTAAGCGGTAGAGTCTTGTGAGCAAAAATTCTACTTTGTGAGCTACTGGCATTACAGTTGTGAGCAAGTGAATTGTCTACTGCATAAATTAGTTTGCTCTGGAGCCATCCTTCCTGAGCTGAGACAAAAATGTGTGAGCTGGAGGCTAAAAAACTATCTGAATTCTCCTAGCAATCTATTCCTTAGTTTTTTTTAAAAAAAAAAATCTTGTCAACATATTTGTTTGACAAACAATTGCAAATATTCTCCTTTTTGTTCTCCTCATTTGGCATGGGTTCCATTTTTTTAAAGGAGATCTGCATCCTTTTTACAGGTATACTTTCTATCGCAACTTCAGTTGTCATGGTTTTAAATAACTTCAAAGCATCCCAGAGAGATTTGGCTTTCTAAACTGTCCCTTTCAACTTCATTCTAACTAATCCTCTCCTTTTTTTTTGAGTAGCTTCCTCTTTGAAAATCAAATGTGACCCCCCTAGATTTTCTAGGCAGCTTTCCACTTACTGATGTTGAATTTTATTAGCATACGGGTCACTGTTCCCAGTTAGCTTGACAACGCTTACATCTTGCATTGGGTCGTCATGGGCACCTTGTAGATTAAGCCCACCAGTTACCTCTTCTCTTGGTCAGTTTCATGCCTGTGATCCTAAGGAAAGCTACACTGTTCCAAATCCATCCAAGTCAGTAGGCTTTAGAAGGGAGTACCTTCTGCGGTGGCTCAAGTGGTTAAGACGCTGAACTGCAGGCTGTGGAAGTTCGGTAGTTCAGCAGTTCGAGACCCGGGTGCGCCACATGACGGAGTGAGCTCCCGTCTCTAGTTCCAGCTCCTGCCAACCTAGCAGTTCGAAAGCAAGAAATTGCAAGTAGATAAAAAGTTACCATTTCGGTGGGAAGGTAACAGCGTTCTGTGCGCCTTGGTGTTTAGTCATGCCGGACACATGACCACGGAAACGTCTTCGGACAGCGCTGGCTCTTCGGCTTTGAAACGGAGATGAGCACCGCAACCCTAGAGTCGGATTCGACTGGCTTTCGAGCAAGGGAACCTTTACCTTTACCTCTACTTAGGATTGCACTATAACTGTTCCAAGTCACAGTCATTTATTCTATCTAGAAATGTTGTCACTTTGTCATGACTCCAACTGCACTTACTCTGGCATTATGATGGTACTTGAAGTCACGCATTACAACATTTTCTGCTTTGGCTGCCTCTCTGCCCACAGTTGTCAGTCACATAAACCAATGTATGTAATGTAAATTCCCGTGATAAGGGAAATAGCTGCTCCCCACGGCCATCTCAGTTTGGGGAAATGGTAAATGTGGAAACCCCCTCTCTCCCATCTGTTACAGTCCCAATCCAAATTAGGTTCCCACACATCTGGGAAATGAGTTCCCAGCAAGGAACACCAGGCATAGATGAGAGAAAGTCCTTGTGGTACAGCTTGCAGAGAACATGAGACTAATGTAATGTCTAGTTATGCCCTTAGAAGTAAGTAAATCCCACTGATTTCATTGAACTTCTAACTGAACATGCACAGGATGGTGGCCTTGGTGTAGACTGAAAGAGCAATCCTAAGCAACTCTACTTAGAATCCTACTCAGGTCTATTCAGTGGGGCTTACTCCCAGGAAAGTGGTCTTAGGATGGCAGTAACAGTAACTTTGAAGTTCATGGAAGTCACTGGGCTTAGTAGGGCATAAATCTGTTTAGGATGGCACTACCAGCAAATTAGACAGAGATACATAGGGGATTTAGGAATCATCCTACGTGGTCTGAAACAAAAACATGTAAAGTAAAGCTAAAAACATTTGTGGGTTTTTAGTTTTAAAAATGAAGTTTATAAAATTATGAACAGCATGGCGAGAAATGTTTTGCTCTTGAGTCTTTTATAACACTAGAGCAATGAAATCTAATTTAGCAAGCCAGGTTTTTTTTCCTGTTGCAAAACAGAGTTCAAAGGTACTGTAACTCTTAGTGCAATCCAGTTATACTTTTCCAAACCCATTGATTTCAGTGGTTTCAGAAGGATGCAACTCTGTTTAGGACTGCACTGTCTTGAGTATTAGAAGCTGGAGACAAACAAGGAGGGAAAGACTGTCACTTTTATTAGTGCACTTCCAGGAGCCACCTGTCTGGCCTTGCTTGGGAATTAGTCTCAACTCCACCCTAATAACTACACCTCATTATATATGGATGGTCATATTTGCCTTGTCTAAATTACGTAAGTGTAGAAATGAGCACATATTGGAGTGAGGAAGGTTTTGGACTGTTGGACAGAAGGGATGGTGGTGGAGCCAGACGGACTATTTAGTCTAATCTAGATAGACAAGTTTTACCATTCTCGGTCTCTCTCCCATGACGAGCAAACTCAGACCTCCTTGTGTAAACTACAATCTCATCACCCCGGGCAATTCCTTCTTTCTAAAACGAATCCGCCTACCATCGATTAATTTGCTTAATTACATAAAAGAGGAGGGGGGAGAGGCGACATGTAAATAGGAAATGCACAACGCCAGTAGCAAGAGGTCGTGAAGCATGGTTAGTATAGATTCCTAATCCCACTCGAAGGACAGTACTTTACGTTCTTTTATTAAAACTGAGATATTAATAACGATGGCGGTAGAAAGAGGTTGGAATATTAGATCCCAAACGATAGCTACGTTCATCCTTTAATTTAAAACTAAAGAATCCCCTCCCAATGTACTAGTCGCTGTACAAAAATAAAAGTCTGTTCATAATCCATGACTCACAGACTTCATCCTCCCCCCGGCGGCCAAACCATGATGGGGTGAGTTTGCGAGAGAGTCCGCGGAGAGTGGAACGGAACTACGCTTCCCAGAAAGCAGTGCGTCTGGAGCGTCTGTTGCAATTTAAAGAGGAAGAAGAAAGTAAAACAAAACCCATTCTTTGATTGCCAGGGGGCACACGATGCTTGGTCCCCCCCCCCGCCCTCTTCGGGAATTGCTCCCCCCAATTGTAACGTTGCCTTCCTCTTACCTGGCCTCAGGAGGGCGGGCGGGCAGGAAGAGGTTAAAGAGGGGGAGGGGTGAGAAATGACCCCTCCCCCCCGTCTTTGGAAGCTGGGACTTCCTGTGACAGTTCATATCCTGGTTGGATGGGGCTGGAGGAGGCTGGGCAGGGAATGGTCTCGCTCCTGCTCGCTCTCCCCTCCCGGCCCTGGAAGCTCGTCGGCGAAGTGGCAATGTTACCTTGTCGCGATGTTGCAGGGCCGGGTCTGCAGCCGCGATGGTAACAGTGTGGCCAGGCCAGGCAGCTAGCTGGCGACTCGCGGGCTTCGGCGGCGGCTCCCGCTGCTTCCTTCGGGGATATTTTCCTCTCCCGCCCGCGCTTAGCAGATGCTCCAGGAGGAGTCCCTTTGCAAGGCTGCTCTGTCTCTTTATGCGAAGGGACCTTCATGGCATTAGTAACGAGACGGGAAAAGGTACGGCCATGCCTTTGCCGCCCGCTGTTTCACCCTCTTAATTGACATTTTTGGAGGGGGAGGATGGGGGGTTGTGAGTTGGGTGGGGTTTTTTCTTTTCTTTTTTTTTGGAGTAAAATGAGATTCCCCCCCCCCGACATGAGAAGAGATTGCGCTGTGTTTATCTTCCAAAGGTGATATTGTTATAAGATGACGGTGGTATCGGGGCGCCGTTGAAGTAAATATGGAAAGCTTGTTGTTTTATCTCTCTCTCTCTCTCTTTTTTCCTGTAGGCGTGAATAATTCTCGAGCTCTGCCTTCCAGGATGGGGAAAAACGTTTGACCTTTAAGGAAAAAAGCAAGATATTGCTGCAAAGGGATTATTATTTTTTTGGCTTGGTTCAAGACTTGAAGAATATATATACACATATATATTTGAAGTGTCATACTTAACTTGCTAAACTAAGACTGTAAGCAGCACACTTTGGAGCAATGAAGAAGTTCTTTGACTCTCGGAGAGAGCAGGGGGGATCTGGAGCCGGTTCTGGTACCATTGGGGGAAGCAGCAGCAGCACCGGACCAGGCAGTGGATATATAGGCCGGGTTTTCAATATCGGAAGGCATCAGGTGACAGTTGATGAGGTTCTAGCCGAAGGTAAGATGATGCTTTTGCTCCACCCTTCCTTCACGCCCTTTAATGCTTGCTCAGTTTAGTGAATGAGGCTCTTAACCTCTGCTCAGATGTTCCTCCCTCTCCCTATTTCATTATCTTCGGAAGAATTTGATGCTACGGAAAAACCATGTTGCTTTGCTTACTGAAATGCTGGATCATAGAGACAGTAGATGGCCTACAGTGCTGTGGTGTCCCCTGCCTTTCATTGACAAAACCTCCCTTAAATTCTCATTTTGAGAAGTAGTCAGGCAACAAACTTAAACAAGAAACAGCTGCTCAGGTTAACTGCATCTCCCAGTATGTAAGTTGGAACACTTTAAAAAAAAAGCATATATATTTTTTGTACAGCAACAAAATTATGTAACAAGCTAGGCTGCATTGGTGCAAGTATTAATAGGGAGAGGCAGCTGATTTCCTTCTAGCTCCCCCACCCTATTTTGAGTACTGTAAGTAAGGAGGTAATTGTGTATATAGGAATAAATGTCTTTTTATTTATAGGGCCTGTTATATAGCAAATGCAGAACAAATTCCTGTAATGTGTGTATTTGGGATGTGGACCTCTGGGATTTGGGTTACATTTATTTTTTAAAAATAGCTTTATGTTCCTAAAGGGCCCCATAATCCAGACCCATAAAGTTTGCAGTGCAGAATGCCAATGGCCCTTCATGCTGAACTGGTGCAGTCTAGGCAGAGGAAATCTTAAAATGCTAGCTGTTGTCTAAGTGAATCTTCCTTTTTATCTCCTCCCACCACTTCAAATGGCTTTTAAAATATATGTAACCTTATCCTTGACCTTCAAGTTCATACTCTTCTTTAGGCCTGTTCATGGCTGAGGAGTTTGCAGCAGCATCTGTTTGAAGAATGGAAAATGGAGAGTTTAATGCTCATAATATATTGTGTAAGGCCAAAATACCCAGACAGAGGGAATCTGGTTAGCAAAACTGGATGCAGGATTCTTGCTTTGCGTTTTTTTAAATCCTCATGTAAAGGTAATGTTATGGAACTACCCACTTCGGCATGCCAAAATGCGTGATTTACCAAGGCGGGTGTTTTTGTACAGAGGGTTTTTGGAAGAGCTGTCTCTGGATGCTTGAATAGTCAGGCTGGTTCTGACCCAGGGTAACCAAAATGCTGTTTGGTCATGGTGGATTGCCGCAGGCATTACACGGAGTACAGAGAAAGTGGGCAGGAGGCCAGCCCTCATCATCTCCATCCAAAACAACAAAGTGAATAAAAACGATCATCTCCTGTTGTATGAGGCACTACTTGAACCGAACCGTATTAGGTGTCTGGCTTCGCTTATGCCAACAAGGCCCTATCTATGCAGAGATCCTGGGGCTAAGCTACAAATAGGCTGATAATCCTGCCTTCCTCTCGCTTACTACATGGAGTGTACTGCAGGAAGCAGAAGACTTCCTTTGAAGATGATTTAAGTAACTTGCTAGCAGATTCTCCTGACAATGATGCTAGCTGGGAAGGGGCTCCTGCTAGTATCGGGAGATGCTGCTCCTAGAGAAGCTGTTCTCCTTCTTGATACCCTCAGTGGTACAATCTGTGCTTTGCTCCCTGTGACTCTCCTGGTCATGGAGTGGTGTTACGGGAGGAATCATGAATATCCGGATCATGCATGGTAGGATCTCTGGACCCGTCTCCGTTTTGTTTGGAAGAGCAAGGGGCTGGTCCACCTGTGGTTTCAAGACTGCCCCCAGGGTCTGCAGAAGCAATTGCAGAGGGAATGAAAGGAAGAACGAACAGAAATGGGGCCCCCTGACCCAAGGCTGTCTCAAAACTCTAGTGAGGGGACAAGCCCCCCCCATGGAGAGACCAGTTTCGTGGTTCCTTACCTTGTGCATTATAAGAGTCATTCTGCCATTCGGAGACTGAAATGCATGTCTCACAGGGCCATCCTGATCACTTTACCCTTTTAATTCTATTGACTTCAATAGGTTCAGAAGGGTGTAACTCTGTTTAGGATTGCACCATTATCTGCTCTTGCTGAGTCATCCTTTTTTAGGGGCTGGCTGTGAGTGAATGAAAAGAGGGAGGAGGAGGCAAAGCAGTGATGGAAAGAGGAGTTTGGTGGTTTTCCACCAAAGGTGGAGGCTGGAGGGGTATTTTTTAAAAAGGCTTTCAAGTGCCATGTGTTCGATAGATGAGCGACAACAATATAATCACTTCTTGACAGTCTGTATTCTATTGGAGTTAGGTCCATGGGTTCAAACCCATGATCAGCTGTGATCATTCTATATAAATTAGACCACTCTTTGTCTTGGGGCTTTATCTGTAATAGGCTTCTTCCCACTGGTCCACAAAGAACCAGGTGGTTACAAAGCAAATGCAGACATGTAATTTTCAATTTACAATGCTAGTTTTGTTGCAAACATTCCATATATTTCATTTATTTACTTGATAGTTTGCCTTTCATACTGAGACTCAAGGTGGATTACACAGTGTGACACAATGCAGCCAATAGGATGAATAGGATGAAAAATGTGAATAGGTTGAAACATCTAATAAGTAATGTAATAGGACTAGGATTATAGACATCGCAAGACAAAGCATAAAGTGTTAGATGTGGTATGTTAAACAATACAGAAAATGGTATTACATTGCATATAAAACAATGCTGTGAGAGTGGGATAATACATACAGCACAATATTTCAGTCATGCTTCCTGACAGCAGCCCATAAGGTAGGGTTAGATTCAAAGTGTACTTCAAAATTTGCACTCAATCTCTAGTTAGACCCAGTCAGAAACTTAACTTCATGTCTAAGCTTGCCTGTACAAAAGAGTCTTGCTTCAAATCTAGCTCAGGCTTTGGGCCTGTAAAAGAATGCTCTGTGGCCGTACTCTGAGATTCTCTTTTGCATTCCTTATTGGAGTGTGAACTTGAGTATCTTGGGCTCCGGTCACATGGGCAGGAAACTGCAGGGGGGGAAGCGTGGCTGTTTTCCCCGGGTGCAGCCAATAGGATGAATAGGATGAAAAATGGTGAATAGGTTGAAACATCTAATAAGTAATGTAATAGGACGGGGATTATAGACATCGCAAGACAAAGCATAAAGTGTTAGATGTGGTATGTTAAACAATACAGAAAATGGTATTACATTGCATATAAAACAATGCTGTGAGAGTGGGATAATACATACAGCACAATATTTCAGTCATGCTTCCTGACAGCAGCCCATAAGGTAGGGTTAGATTCAAAGTGTACTTCAAAATTTGCACTCAATCTCTAGTTAGACCCAGTCAGAAACTTAACTTCATGTCTAAGCTTGCCTGTACAAAAGAGTCTTGCTTCAAATCTAGCTCAGGCTTTGGGCCTGTAAAAGAATGCTCTGTGGCCGTACTCTGAGATTCTCTTTTGCATTCCTTATTGGAGTGTGAACTTGAGTATCTTGGATGGGTTACTGAGGAGAGGGCTATCAACAGATTCATAAGTGGGGGATGGGAAGCACTTGCTGGGGGCGAGGGATTCCTCATCCCCAGCTGGGGCTGTGGGATGCAACCCTGATCATGACATTAGCATGTCTGTCCCTGCCCTCTCAAATACTCCTCTCAAGTACTCCCAGGGTTTGCAGGCTGTGGCCTGGAAACCCCACCTGTAAGGAATGGGGATACTGGCTTGCTTCCAAGGACTGCAGGAAGGGTGAATGGGATGCTAACAGAATGAAAGGGAGGCTATGACTAGGGCCAGGTTGCTGCAGTGGGGCTAAAGGGTTTGGGACTGGGGGGAGAGAAAAATTGGTTTGTTGTGGGAAATAGTCCCAGGTCATATGAATGTGCTTCTAATAATTTGATGTGAACCGCTGGCTTTTGTATCATACCAGAACTATGTGCTGGTGAAGTAATTCTGTGAAATGCCAGCATGCTACAACTGGCATTACCTATCTCAAATTAAGTTGTTTGCTGTCTGTTGCCACTACAGCCCTGTTTTCCCCTTAACTGCAGTGGAAGGTTTGAAACTATACTCAAGATAGGTACTGACTTAGAGGTCCAGGCTTGTGAACCTTGTTCTTCCAAATAGCAGCCCAGGTGATAAACCTTGTCTTGGCTGTACTGCTTCAGATCGCTGTTGGGGAATGTTCTGTTATATGTTTGGCTGAAAGTTGCCCATCGTCATTCAGGGAGCTGTATGGCAGATTAGCGCATCTGCACTTTGGTCCCCAAGGCCTTGTCAACACTGGAACCACTGCACAACGCTAGCTCATGTTTTCTCCATTGCTTTCTTGTATTCTAAGGGAAGCAATGCCCCAACTCACTGGGGAGCATTCCATTATGAGAGGCTCCATTTGCAGTAAGTATGCCCCTGATGGCTGGCATCTTTGAATGGGTGAATGAATGTCACAGAAAATTATCGATTGAGTTGCCTTTGCAGTGATCAATCTGCAAAAGTCTCATTCCCATTGAATGCAACCGTCAGTTGCTGATGAACAGCAACATTAGCTAAGGTTTGAAGGTTGGGGAGGGGGGAGTTGCTGTCTTCCACTGGGCTTCCCTTAGCCTCTCCAGGTGTTCCATATGGCAGGGTTCTGGTTTTGAGTGTATGTATGTACCTGATGTTGGGATCACTGAACAGATTAGGGATTGTTCTGTTGGGTGGGTGGATGGTACACCAGTCCCCTTGCTTAGAACTTTTTATGCCACGGCAGCTGTGGGGTTGTTTCTACTCATACAGTGGGACCTCATTCTGGTCTTCTGTAGGGATGGAGACCAATGATTTAGTGAAGGATGTTCCTTTGGTCCACTTGTCATGGACTCACCATTATCTAGTGAGGTTATTACACTTGTCTCCCAGGGATGGGGAGGGTGGGGAACATATATGAAAATTATCCACCTACCTTGGCTCATAGTTCCCGATGGTTTGTTGATAACTCTCTGGTAAGTCTCCATCTGGCATCCCTGTTAAAAGCCTTGGTAGATCTCTTGAACTTGAATGAACCAAGAAATTGATGCAATCACTAAGTGCCCTCATCTGTCT